TTGCATATTTAAGTGTTTCACATATCAGGGCAATTATAAAGCGTATCTATGTATGCCTTTAACGAAATCGATTTCCAATTGCTAAAAATGTTAGCCTCAAGCGTAAATCTAAGCTTATGCCTCCAGTGTCCGGATCTTTGCACACACAAGAGGTAAGGTTTTATTTGTGCATACATGCCTGTCATGTGCTTTGGTCACGTGTCAATTTATGCTGCTTAAATTCAATGTGTTGCGTTAAATCATGAAGCATATGCCAGCACATACACGTACACACGGACATGCTATCAGGTCCGGCCAAAGGGTGGTTTTCTTTTTTTTTATATTTAAAATTAAAATAGAAAATTACATTGTTTCAAAAATTCAAAGTTCAAATACACTTTTCTTACAACGTCAACAACAGTTAGAGGACTGTTTATATGTACATATATATTCCTCGTATCCGAAAATCCTTGCGTATCCATAAATCTTCTGCAAACTATATGGAAGACTCTAAATATTCTCCATCTGTACCTGTGTACCCATGTGCGTTTGTGTATTTATGCATCGTCCGATGCTGCAAATCTAAATGAAATGGCAACCATTAGCACCGGAAACGCCAATAAGGACTTGTCAATATTGACTGATTATCTTTCATCAGTTGCGCGCCCTAGCAGTAAACATAAAACGTACCCTTACAGTCAACTGTTGTTGCAGTTATTATTAAAGCGGCTTTTAGCAGCACACAGTAATGTTTTGTAAATATCATCCTTGCTCAGCAGTACTACCATTGCCATCACCACGACTACCACCGTTACTGCCACCACACCACATCCTCTTAACGCAAACAGAGAGAAGCTCTATTGCCAGCGCACAATGTAGTTTTTAAATTTTTGTTGTTGTTGTTGCTTCACTCAATCATTGAGAGGAAGAAACCGTACGTTAGCCAATTCGAGCCGTGAGCGCCTTCATGCGCACGAAATGTCATTAGAAATAATGTTGACGATAGAGTATACATCCGCTAATGTTTTGAATTTCCTATAAATTATTCCAATGAATTTATGAAATAATAGAACGGAAATGCAGATAATTACGCTTTCAAATTTCAGCTGCCAGGCATTCTCTCTTCATATGTAATTTCAGTTTAAGTTATACATATTTGATTAAGTCTTAAAGCATAGGAGAAAATAGATACTCATCATTGTTGCAACGTGAACTTTCTTTGCCTCATACGTATACAATATTTAAGATAAATAAAATTACCTTAAAGAAGTCTTACACAATACAACTGACTTTGTTAAGGGTAAAAATAAGTGCAATAAGACAGGAGCGTTTGTCTCTGCTTCTAAGATACTTCAAAATTTACCCGGTTAACGTACGAGATGTGAATTCTCTTTGTCTTAGTTTCAGATCCCTTTTAGAGTTTTACGTGGACAAACTTTGTGATAGCCTTACCTCACGGCATAACATATTGAGTGGAAACGATAACCGGCACCTTCAAGGAATTCGGCAATCACCAACAATGTATGCCCCACTATTGCTGTGCTCTCAGAACTCTGCTTAGTGTCAAAAGTTATCTAGCATCTCATTACTTACTGTCGCCACGCAACTTCAAGTGCCGCGCCCACCAGTCCGACACTTTGTCGGCAGCCTAATGAATAGTGCCTGATATTTAAAGCAATTCTCTTTGGGCAGCCTGATCGCTATGGATACTCAAAACTCATGTGTATTGCATTACATAGCTTCGATTGTTATCAGGCTATTCGCAGCCGTAGAAATTCTTGCATTCGGATAATCCAAACATTTCGAAAAGCCGTCAATTAAACTAACCTTGCTTCAGAAGAATAAAGATCGACAGAGTCCAGCTCCTACCGTGCTCTCAGCTCGCTTTTCAACTCTCTTCATCAGAACTAAAGAGATAGGGGCTGCGGTTTTATAGCCCCCACATTAGCAGACTATTTCAAGAAAGATGTTGTCCTCCTCTTAGGTCATTACAGAGGATCACTTGTCGCCAGTTACAGATGGTAAATCCTAAATTGGTCTTTGCCGATAGTTGTCCAGTTCTTAAAACGCACTTTTTAGCGAACAGTTACCTTTATAAAGCGGCTAAGATTTCTGTACTCCTATACCCTCTGAGAGGGACATATTTTCCCTCATCCAGCCTCAGTTGCGGTTGCAAACCGCATCGAGTAGCGGAGTAAACGGCAAGCGCGGCTATCAAGCCAGTATTCGCAGGTTCAAATCTCAATCCGGGAGAACGAACTCGGTCGTAGCTGTAATGAATCGATAGAGACTTGCTGAATGGACACGCATTCGGTACGCCTCGGCCACTTTCGCCATCACGTGCTCTTGCCCCACTTCTTCTAACCGTCATCACTCTCTCTCTCTCTCTATACGAGAGACTAATCATATTAATAAAAAAAAAAGCAAGTAAGAAAGTTATAATCTCGTACACCCATCATTGTTACATTCTTTGGCGGCTCACGCTTTTGTTTACTGTCATAAAAGAGTGAATGGGATCAAATCTATCATTCAGATTTTACTTCATTAAAAGTTACTGTTAAGAAAAATTAATCTAACACTTCATGACGTCTACCACAAGCAATTTGAAATTAACGCACTTAGCTTGCCGTCTTCCACTCGCAAAGTCCTTCTGTTTGACACCCATAACGCTGGTATTATTAAGAACAAAATCATCCACCAGATCGTGAAGTCCACTATATTTATTTTAAAATTGACGCGTTTTTATACCGATAGCATGTCTTCATTTGGGGAATGTTCAAAATAGTTTTTAGCTCCGTCTTGTTTATCTTACGATTAACAAGCACAAAACCTCAAAAAAGTGAAAAAAGGAAAATGTAGTCACTCATAACGTTGTGGGCATGGCCAATGGCCCAGTTTTTTCACACAAATGGAAGATTTCTCCGTAAAGTGAATCTAGAAAGTTTCAGCTCTTTCTCTTCCATAAGGTATGAGCAAAAACTCACACATTTTTCCTTTGAGAAGCGGAGCTGCATTCGCCTTACGCTTTCCTGTGGGTGCTCTGTGCTCTGATCAATTTAGCCCATTTTCAATACCAACTTGCGTGCAAAAACTTTGAATATTTCTACCAAATTAAAAGTCGATTTCATAATTTTTGCGACCAGACGAGTGTCTATAATACACACAACATAAACACATAAGCGAACAGACATGGCTTAGTTAATTCAGAATTTCATAGTGATCGAGAATACCTGTACATTATAGAGTCCCTGAAGCTTCCTTTCGAGTGTTGCAAACAGTACGACAAAATAAGTATATTCCTCATCCTTCAGTGTTGGGTATAAAAAAATGAATGAATGAATTAACTCATGCATCTCTTAGTTCAGGAAAATCAGCTAACAATATTCCTCTTAATTTTTTTGTTTTTTTTTTTTTCATGAATAATCGTTGAAACAAATCCTGGAATCGCTTTTTCGCAATAATTGGAATAACAACTAACCTTTCGAATTTTGCAAAACGGTTATTAAGGTAAATGGCAATATATTCTGCTCACTATAAATTGTCAGATTAGAGAGATTCGAGTTGAAAGTTGAAAGTTTTTGTTAAACGCCAAACAACAACAACAACAGTTGGGTATGGCGCAAATGACTAATTATTGGAATTCAATATCGAATTTGAAGAAAGCCATTTATGATGAATTAAAAGCCAAAGCTCACAAACCGCGGCCTAGCTAAGGATGAGCATTTTTAACAATGAATGTTGCTACCTTACACTTTAGGGAAGCATGAGTGCGATCTATCGTGGAGGTAAAGTTGAACTTGCAGTATTAATGAAGAGTTTTAACTAATGGCTGACTTCATTAAGATTGATCCAGAATGGTTTGACATGGGAAATCATTTATCGTGATTCGGGCACATGTCGCAAAATTCGCTCAGCAATTCTTAACTGGAATGTGCTGCCATACGAGTTGAAGTCCTCAGCTGGTGTTCCTTTTGACTAACATTGGTTGCAATCAATAACTTATTATTTGGCTGCGATTATTAGAGGAATACACAAAAAATAGACAGCTTCATGGACAATCTGAAAAGAACGATAGTCATTTCTTTACGGACTTGATCGTTGACGAAAAGTAGATAGTATAATGAATGCTAGACCGTACTCTTCAAAAGGATAGCAATATGAAGCGGGCAATAAATGACCGGTAAGATAATTTTAAAGTAATCCCTGAGGCATCTTCAATCGATTAATCTGTAACATATGTTGATGATCGGGGAAATTATCAAATTTACTTTGCACAGTTAAATACACTTCGAAACAAAATAGCTCGGTTTTCTTACGAACCCAATATTCCCTAAACGTATACAACGTTGATGGTCAGAAAGAAGTGCGGAAAGAGAAAACAATAATAATGAGTGACCGTAATCTGCTGGATATGTGCTCAATTGGGGAATGTCATGCCTTTACCAACTGAGCACGCATTATAGCTACGACCGATTATTGTCAAAGCGCATTGATATTTGAACCCGCGAACATGGACATGGTGTTATTTGCGTCTCTTATCGTTTCGCCTATGCAACAGCCCATGGACTCAATAATTGAAAAATCAATTTTTTTCTATAAATTTCTAAAATTTTTCGTTTCTTTTACGGATTAGTAGGCGATTTAATCAATATACCATATTTTTGTATTGTATAACAATAGTAAAGTCTTATCAACTTTCAAAAACTATTTTTAAACGGAGTCCGAATTATGTTTATATTCCGTTGAAACATAATTTCGTTGCTTTGTGTAGCGCATTGTTTGAGCATGAAATTTTATCAGTAAAAAAAACCGCACATATTTGTGCGGGTGACCATTTCAAACGGTTTTTAAATGCGCTTACAAATGCGTCGTGAATATATTCACATGTTAAGTAAATGTGTGTTTGTGCGAAAACATAGTCATTAGCGTACGCGTACATAACCCGATAAGGATGCCGAAGCGAGTTCAGAGCCTAATGTGTGCTTAAAAATCTGAGACTTCTATCAGTAGTGCGAGTAATTTTCAAAGAGTAAATACATTGAAAACAGCAGAATATGCCTTAAAAATTTATTGAAATTCATATAAAAACAACAACAAACGCCAGCAATACACAACAAGTGATAAAATTAAAAACGCACAAGAGATCATAGAGAATAAATGAAATTATGACGCCAGCTAAGATTTGGAGGACGCACCTGTCTTTGCTAATGCAATTAATTTTTTTGTGCTTTGTCCGCATCGAAAACGGAAGCGCGAGTCCATCGCGTGTGCGTTGCGAAAAACCGGACATGATACCGAACGGAAGCTATCGATTGAGACGCAACAATATGGTGATGCGTATCACCTGTAATGTTGGCTATCAGTTACAAGGTTATCGCCTAATCAGTTGCGTTCGTGGCAAATGGTCAGAGGAGAAACCAGTCTGCGCAAGTATGTAAATAACGGAAATAATAGTTCACTTTGTTTTTCTATTATGACTATTGTGGAATTGTGTACGTATGTGTGTGTGTGTGTGTGTGTGTGTGTGGCATTATGATTCATCCGCGATGTTCATGCCACAAAATTATTTTGTTTTGTTGACATTTTTTAGAAAAAGGCTGCAAAGAGGTTTTAAAGGCACCCGAAAATGGTCAAATTCATGTTGAAAATGAGTTAAAAGCCATCCTATACTGTTTGGATGATTATAATTTAGCTGGAAATCGTTATACGTACTGTAACGGTACACATTGGGATCGTCCCATTGGCAATTGCCGCGGTAAGCTAAGGTGTACTTAGAAATTTTTTAGCATACAACTAAGTAACGATAATTTTTGTGCCTACCTGATGCAGCTCCTAAAAATGTAGTCCAACATTCTTGCGATTTCGAGACCGACGATATATGCGGTTGGGTTTATGAGCCTCGTGACGGACTCGAATGGAAACGTGTTATAGCGGCTAATGTTTTTACCACTTTCCGTACGGGACCACGACACGATCACACCACTTTGACAGCTAATGGTGGCCATTATATGCTAATGGAAAGCTTAACCCGTCAAAATACTCCAGTGATTCTAACATCGCCGATCTATGAACGGGCGTTATCATTGAAAACTTCATGCTGCTTTCAATTTTATTACTTCATGTACGGAGCAGGTGTCGGTAGCTTATACGTAATTTTAAAACCGATATCGATCAGCTTGGAGGATATAGTGAATAAAAGAAAAAAGTATAAATGCCTTATGCTATCACTTTGTATATTTATTTATAGTTTCGTCTATAGTTTCATTAAATTCCAAAAGACTGGTAATCAGAACAATTTGTGGAATGAAGCGCACTTCAGCATCGAGGAGTTGGAAGAGGACTTTCAAATTGTGTTTGCGGCTAAAGGAGGCCAAGGCCATTTAAGCGATATTGCCATTGATGATGTTCACCTAATGACAGGCGATAATTGTCGTGCATTGGATAGGAAAGCAGATCCTGTTTACAGTAGCGTGGAGTATATCTCTACAACGCCGTGTAAATCATAAAACTAAGTTCAGAAAAACCAACCTTCACTAAAAACTAATATCACGCTTTTTTTTTCTTTTTTCGATTTAGATGAATCCATATATGATACTCAGTCGTGCGTGGGACGTTGCAATGACATAAATAATAGCACAGATGCTATGTATTTACTCAACCACTTAATGGGCCTTTGTGATTGTAATATTGGTTGTGAGGAAACGTGTTGTCCTGATTTTAAAATTGTCTGCTTAAGTGGTACAAATTTCAATTTCAAATTTGTCTATAACAAGGTGCTATGTTTAGCGAATAATTAATAATATTTTTTTTACCTATATACAGAAATATTTATGGAATCCACTACGATGGAATCAGATGATACTAAGGCTGGGGAAACTATAGAACCGGAAACTGGTTTTATTTACAAATCAACAGCAAGATCGTTAATTAGCAGTACTTCCAAAGCGCCTGTCAATGTTACGAGCACTAGCACTACGCTCCAAACTGTACAACCGATGGAGTTTACAACACCGTCTAAATCGAGTGCTGTAACATCAACTACAACAACAACGACTACTACAAGAAGTACTTTAAAAACTATCCCTACTACAATCACAGTAACTACTTCGACAACCACGCCCTCTAATACAATAGCAATTGTTACGACTACTTCTAAACCGACAACTGCGAGCCAGAAGTCTACAACAGCAACAACAATTGCTACCACTCGCAGGTCAACGACTTCCACTCAAAAAACAACCATAACTGCTGCTACTAGCCGTAGATCAACTACCACAACTCGAGCAATAACTACAACAAGTCGTAAACCAACTACAATTACTCCTCGAACAAGTACAACAACGCGCAAAACACTCATTATCAAAGCAACAACAACAACGCCCTTAACACTAACAATACCACTTGCAACGATTACAACAACAGAAAATTCAACAAATCTAGGTAAGAATCACACAAAATACAACTTTTTTTCTGCATCAATTCTAACTGAGCCGACTTGTGTTTAAAAAAAAAGTGTCAGAAGAAATTTTATACATGATCAGAGCATATACATGTATATGGAACGAAACATTTAGACTTGAACATTGTTTGATGTGAGTCTGATGGCTCAAGAGTTCAAGAATTTTTCTCTAAATAGATCGACATGCATGAGTGCGAGGTCAACTTACCTCAATCCATTGTGGTTTATAGTAACTGGCAAAGAAATTAATGCAAAAATTGTTGAAAAATTCTTCGTACGCTTAGCCCACATCGGGCCATCGGGAAATTTATGTATCATTTTTCAAACCGGCTTAATTTTTACATCCAAGATTAGAGCAATTTCTTCGGAACAGATTTTTTTTTTAAATTTCAAAAATATGCAGAAAATGGGCGGAGCTGAATCAGGTGCAGGTAGGTCAATTGCGAAATGATACAAGTCGAATTGCTGGAAGAATGAATGTAGGATAGAAAAATGCACTGTTGTGAACAAAAACCAAATTCTGACCGTAATTCGGGCTAATCTCTTCAAGTAAAGAGTATTCTTTGTTAAAAGTTTCGTCTGCTAGTGGGAGTTCTTCTTATTCCATCATGCAACAATGAGCGAAGAAATCTTACTCTCACTACATTCTGACTTTGAAACTATGATACCATCGAGGACGACTCTAAAAGATGCCTATAGTGCCGAAACGTTTGTAGAGTTTTCAATAAAGCCGAAAGCCTTAGACGCTTTAAGTGTTTAAGTGCTTTAGTAGGTTTGAGAGGTCGGGATTATTTTTAAATAAAATATTTAAGCGATTAAGTAGTAAGCAGATGTATCCAACACCAGGAAGGACTTCCGATAAATCCAGCTTTTATTGTAGTAATCAATTCGCAATCATTTTCTAAATCCAAGCTTGTCTGTTTGTCTGTCCGGTTGTCTGTCTTGCTTTCTTGTGTTCAACCTTCAAGCCGCAGTTTTTGACATATATTTATGAAATTTGGTAGACTGACGTGTTTTGGCCCAAAGACGAATGCTATTGGAAATGATTCGGATCGAAGCACATCGTCGCTCACTCATAACTGTAGGGTGGTGCGGGGGTATTTAATAGTCAGCCGCGCCCCTCCATTGTGTTTTTACTTGTTTCATTTTTTTTTCCAAAGCAAATAAAAACAGTTGTTGATGTTAAATTTCGAAGGCATCTGTTCGATTAGGCTTATCCATAATATATTTGCTGATGTAAAAAACTATTCGACTAATGTCATTTTATTCGGGCACGAAAAATTAGCTTACATTCTGGGCCGTGAGTATCGTCTTTCAAATTTGTATTATTTTTATTTTATATTTTAGTGAACAATACGACGAACAAACCATCGACAAAATCGAAAACAATGGTATTCATTGTAGATCATGACGACATATCTAATCCAGATGTTATAAGGCGTGGTACCGATCTGTTATATTGCACGCTTGCTATCCTATTGACTGTCATTCTATGCGTAGTTATGTATCGGCGGTGCGGCAATCGTGCTGTACACTGGTCTATGATACGTTTTAGTCGCAACAATAGCGGTGATGAGGAAACATCATCGATAATAGGAACTTTTAATCAACCCCAAAGCAAACCATTATCATATCGTTGTAAGAAAATTGGAAAAACTGCTAAACGAAAATTTCATTTTACATCATCGAGTTCGAACTCTCATAGAAACGATATTAGAACGCCTTTGTGGGAAGATGATGAAGACGATGACGAGGGTGGCGATGTACCGAATACGAATGGAAATCTATCAATGAAAAATAAATTGTTCACTGAATTGTAAACATGATTCCTATATAAAATAAGTTTTAAATAACCTTTGAGTATATGTTTGTATTAAGGATTGATTACTTTCTCAAAATGAATCCGAACGCGTTTAAGTTAAAACAAAAAGTTATAAAAATGTTTATACGTTTTTTTGCTCTGGCATATCAGTGACTTTCATCTCATCAACAGTGTATTAATCTCGTTATTCTCTCAACAAGTATTATGAAAACTGTAAAGCTGTTGTGTATTTTAGTAAAAACTCAATAATAATAACTAAGATACAAACCGAACCAACTTCAGTATATTCAGCAAATATCTTTGGTTAACTTTTAGAAAATCAATCTTTCAGTGGGAACACTCTACTCGCATGAGCAAAGTAGATCCCAATCTTATTTTTTTCGGTTTCTTCACCGATGTAGGCGTAGCTGCAACCGTATGCCACACATTTTATTATTTGAAGAAACACATCAAGCTAAAGGCATATGAGCCTCAATTTTCTCAGCGTAAGACTTGTGAAATGGCCGTAGTCCACAACGTAGTAGCCAAGGCGATCACATACAAAAGACAGTAGTTTACTTTTTATTACATACCAGATGTTAGTCTGAATGATGATAATGTATCAGTTTGAGATTATGATTGTGGGATGATCACGCGATTATAGGCTGTAATGAGAAGAACAGACACTGCGTAGGTTTCCCTTTGTTCGGAAGACATGGTCTGATATCATGGCTGCATGGCGTTGTGCAGTCCCTCCGGAATATCAGTGGCCAGCAAACTCCTGCTGTCTAACTAGATAGATAGTGCAATCCTTGTGTGTGACGCAATATTCATTCCCTATGCAAGCCGACATCGTAAACTTAAGGCTTTCGTAGGCAAACTTAACGTATTCAGATGATTCTGCTAGACAGACTTATTCTCTCTCAGACTAGCTCTTATTATGCTTTTATTTTTTGCGCTGTTGAACGACATTTCAATGCGTCTGAATGAAAACAAGGTGGTGGCCTAGTACTACTAGTTCAGTGTCACCTGTGAGTATTTGTAATTTTAAGAAGCGCAACTCAAACAGATTGTCAAGATTTGGCAACAAACTTATGCAGCGTAGGAAAATGTAACTTTTTGGCATTTTCTTAACGTTCTTAGTTCAATGGTATTTATCTTACCATTGCTCTCTTAAGCGAAACAAAAGCTTAAATATATAACAAACAGTAACTGTTTTTGGCAGCTTTCGTGAGGTTTGCTCTGAAATTAACTTACATTTACAGTTTACCATAAATATATCGCGCCGTCTCTTTAAAATGAAGTTAATAGCTGCCAAGGTTTTTAGTGCTAAGTAAAGCACTAGTTTCCATCGAAATGCTTAAGACTTGGCTTAAACCGAATTTGACATATGTGCCTGTGTTTATTGCTCTTGTTGTTGCATTATGTACAGAATGTCTTTTAGAAACTTAATCTGATGCGATAGTTGCTATGAGCTACGGCCATTGTTGTCTTTATAAGCATAATCACAAGTAATATAAGAAGAAATATTCTATAAATTCATGTTGTAATAGTTTCCAGGCAACGTTAATGTACACACGCTCTAAATAATCCTGAGTTCTAATAAATAATAAACACAATAGCATTTGTAATGCTTTCACGGAAGGAGTCTTCTAACGCTGCTCACTGTTGATTGACCAAAGCGGAAAGGTGCAAAGCTTGGCTATTTCTTTTTTCTCTCCTTTTAAACTTACGGCGTATATGCGCATACCTTGAAATCAAGCCGTGGGCGATACAGTTTTACATTGAATGTATTGCTATGTACTGACACAGCAAGATTTCTATGAATTATTACAATGACCGCCGAAGCCGTTGCCATCGCGTTCTATTACCTACTGACAGTAATTGTTTTATTGACATTGATTGACAGGCTAAACCATTATGGGTTTTATGCAATTGTTGCTACAGATGTGCATGTTTTGTTATACATGCACAAAAAGAAGCTACAATAATTCAGTTGCAAGGAACCGTCACGTTACGTTAGCTACGTCAGTTCTCTTATATCAGAACGTTAGCTTTGCAAATAATGACCGCCGTATACCATTCAATAGCAGCAGAGTTCTGCGTCAAAACATGAATCAAATTAAACGAATACTTAGAAAATGGTAAAAAGGATTTCAACTTCATTGTGATAGATGCCATTCCTAACGAGTTACCCCTTTTTCCGTTGGCATTGCAATCACTGGGAACCATCACTATTCATACCTAACAAGCTTACCGTTTATACATTCCTACCTATTGAACGTACATAACATTAGCTAATGTAAGCGATATCATGTTACACACAAATAGATTTACTACCTGTTGTATGTTTGTATTTTTATGCAAGTTCCCTTATCGAATTTACAGTCACTTTCAAAAAAAAAAGTACACTCATAGTTGTTATTGATGAAAACGTAAAAAGATAAGACATATGTAACGAGGGTAAGAAAGGGTGTATTTCGGTTAATTAACGGAAAGATAACTGCATCATCCCTTAACACTTATTTCTCTGAGAGAACAGTAAGTTTAGTACCATGTTAAAGATGAATAGATCGTCAGACCAATATCAATAAATTAATAGTGTGTATGTATACCACCGAAATCGAAATATAAAAAAATCAGTGCGACAAGGCAGAATGAAACCTTAAGATGTATATGAGATGCACTCACTATTAGGATAGCAAAGTGCACTATAATCTAAAATTAAGCAAGGGCCGAAGAAACTATTTAACTGATTACATCCCTCGATAGGCTTTTTTATTCGAAATTGTTCCTAAATATGCTAAGAGCACACCTTTTCTATCTATGTATATTAAACTATAAGGTATGTTTAATAACAAGCTGAAACTCTTACCTTCTTATGGTGATCCTAGACAACGATCATTGACCGACGAAGAGGCTTGACTATCTGTAACTTGGCAACTGGCTTTTCTCATACATAACTTAGGAGTGCACTGGAAAAACTTTTGTTTTCTTTATAAAACAGCAACTCTTTTCTCAAAAGATTGCTTCTATGGAGGAAATACACGGTAAGTGAAACAAGGTCAGTTAGGCTGTAGAATACCTTGAAGTTTTATTAGTCGGGAGAATAGAGAAGGCCGAGCCACCTCTCACTACGGACGTGCATATATCTTGAGAAAGGATAGGTTGGACGGTCACAAAGCTTTGTAGTCTAAGTTTAATCTGCACGGCCTCAACGGCGCACTCACTTTATGAAAATTTTTTTTATATAAGATTCCAACGTTTATCTTTTGTCGATTGTTCTCCAAGCGGAGCACGTCGCTGGCTTCATTGCTTATAAAAAGTGGAATGAATTGATTATAGTTAGTAATGTTACAATTCAAAGTTGACGATAACATGTACACGATCATTGTAAAGGTTATTTCGATTAAGCCAGGACCATTTCTCTCGCCCTCCTAAATCTGTTTTTAGTTCAGCTAGGAAATTTAACATTTAATTTATTTATACATAGATAACGAAGTTAAACAAACCGAGCTCGGAAATAGACATAAGCTGATTAGAAATATATTAAAAAAATTTAATTTACCAAAATATTAACTTAATAGCTATGACACTTATCGTCCTCGAGTTTATCGAAATTTTCTTTTTTTTTTAAATGAGCAATTATTCAGAGTACACTCGCCATGCGTGCAATACGGCGTCTGTCAGACAGAAGTGAGAAAAAAGAAGCAGCCTCGTGGACACATGCTCAATTGGTAAGTTTTATATCTTCACAAATTTAGCACTCACTATAGATACGAGCAAATATGCTCTATCGCATTGAGATCTTAACCTGCGACCACTAACTTGTTGATTCTTATCTACTTAGCTATTCTTATATGTTGAGATGGTTACTTTACACGCAGCTCCTCAACTTTAGATTTCCTGTCGTACTAAACAAAATGAAAATAGGATCAGTTTTAACTTTGTAAGGCCGTGGCCAATTTTCCCCATTTTTGAGCAATGAGGGAAGGAAGGAGGTCGTCAACAAAATAAATTTAGAAAAACTCAGTCTTCTCTCCCATGCATACAGACACACAAACGGGCATACGCGTCTAAATCGATTTGATATTTGACACTGATCGAGAACATATATATACTTTGCGGAATTTCTGAAGCTTGCTTGTTGCAAACATTATCAAAACATGAACAAGTTCTTTCGGTGGTGCGTATGAAAAATTGATATTTCGCAAGCACTGTTTTTTACTGCAAGCAAAACCTCTGATAGTAATAGAATAAGGCAACGAACCAAATCATTATGAGAACAGAATGTGATCTGATCAGCTTATCAAACTATATAAAGAAAAAAATAGTGGCACGGAATTGAATAAGTTTGCTGGGCTAGACTAGGCGAATCTCTCCTAAAGAAGAAACAAATCAAATATTAATTTACTTTATTCCGAAGAGCTAATGGCATTTTTAGTTGAACAATTTGCTTCTATTTAAGGCCAATAAGACGCTCGCCCTGACTCATTAAAAAGGACTTTTGTAGCTGGGCCACTTCTGCAGTAAGAATCTGTTATAATTTATTACACAATAATACATTGGAAACAAAAAGAACAAGAACACGTACACACTTATCTTCGAAGTAAGAAAAATCTATCCATTACAGAATTATGGATTTTCATCTCTACTCTTTTATATGAAGTCGCCGCATGCATACTCATATTAATATATAATAGCTTTTTTATATATAATAGTTTAACATTTGTATAGATATCAGTGTAACATGCATGTACGCTTTCTGGTAACAAATTTTATAATTTCATTCAGAGCAACGTCACTTTCTTTCAAATATAATTGAATGTTTCTTAAACATGTAATTCAATCTCTAACGGTTCGTTTTACTTTTCATTTTCATTTACATTACTTGACGGTTACTGCGTCCTTCTTATGACTTGCAGTAATAACTTTTATGTTGTAGATAGTATAATAAACTATTATTGTTTTAAATTAAAGGAACTTTACTTGTCACATTTAGTGTTAACGAGATCGAAAATATTGAATAAGATCGAATATGAGAGCATTTAAAACCGTTATATATGAGTTTACGTATGCTAAACGCTTGGATTAAATTTTCAATTTTTTTTTTTATATACAATTTAAAATATAAAATGTAAATAATAAGTAAATAAATGACATAAAAATATTTTATTTTTTTGTTTCTGGCAACTCTGCTATTCGATTGTGTTTTTTACTTGCCCTTCAATTTTCTGTGAAAAATTAAGTTTTACTTAAGTAGTATTCAACTTTTGAATTGTTTCGTCATATATTGAATAAAGATTGGTGGGGATGTATGCAATGAATGCAATTAGCTAAGTGTTTAACTCCCTTACTTGGGATTCAGTATTTTTGCAATACTTGCACAGTTGCACTCTTGACAGTTTCCAGATGGCCCTCTATGTGAAATTGTCAGCACTATTAACAAAAGCCGGAATAATTTAGAAGTGAAATATTCGTATAATATAGACAGGTTGCAGTTTATAAAATGCAAAATACAGAGATGTTTTGTCTATTAAGGGGCCATACGTTTCTGCCGTTTGAATTTATAGTCTTGTGCTTACTAAAGTTTCTTCTCTTTGGAAGTTGTTAAAACCATAGTCACATTAACAACATTAACTTTATTTGAGTGGTGATCATGGATTGTTGTTACACAAGGTGTAGAGGAAGGAGTACAGTGGAAGAAATTTGTTACCGAAACAGTTTCCGTGTGGAACAGTTGCTGGGTACGTGAGACGTTATCTCAGCCCAAGTGTGCGAGATTTAATGGCAGGCAGGTTCGATCATATAGTCGATAGATCGAAAGGGTTGCGCTGGTCTGCTCTGAAGTGCCTTCAAAAGGACATAGACTTTTACAAGCACTTTAAACAAACACAGTCTGGCTTTAATGAAATGTAGAAAGATTTGCATAAGTTAGTTGCCAAAAAATAAGTCTTTGCGGTGCAACGCAATCTGACTTTCAGTATGTTATGAAATGATTTTATTTGACATAGAAATCTATTTAAATATAAATCAAAAACGGATTTGAACTTTTAAATATCTAAATCTGCGCTGAGATAAAGCTCACCGGCTTTCCAAATTTCGTCATAAGTTCGAACACTACAAGTATCCTCCATCTTGTAAATTGTGTCGCCCCGCAATCTCAATTAACTCAGAAGAAATTAACTGAGAAAAGAGCAGATCAACTATGAAACTTTTAAATAACGGAATAGTTCTTCGTTGGAAGTGTACATTTTGAAACATCGACTTAGTTTCGGCATAAATAAATTTTAGTAATCATACTTGTAGCGTGAAAAAAATGAATTAATAAAAGTTGACGAAAGAACAAGATCAAAATGCTTGCAGCGTGAGCCCCTCCAGGGGGGTTGTCTTCTGTGGTCAGTTCCGGCAGACATCCGCTCCATTCCACCAATCCGTGAAGTCTGTGTACCAGCGGGGGTTACGCAGTGAATCTTCATCGTGCAGCAGGGCGCATACGCGACACCAAAAATACGTGTTTATAAATTCCCCCGTTCCTTGCCAATCAAAATATGTGTTATACAGGCTATCGTTTTTATCCAATATATGCAAATAATTGGCCAATTCTTCGGGCGAGGCAAACTGATCTACATGTATATAAGAGTTGAATGGGGCAATGACTGCGTAGTCTTCCGGACTTGCCCCCATAACAATGGGTAATATGTTGTGATTTAAAGCGTTCGCAAAGAATTTCTCAGTCACATAATCTTTACAGTTGCGATTTTCAAATGCGAGATAAAACTTGTAATCACGCTCCAACATTTCAAAACATGCATCGGCCGTTTCTTGCGGACATTCATAAGGACCGCAACTACCATATATGTCAACCTTAGAGGAAAATACAGTGAAACGGAAGAAAACACAAAAGATCGTCGTATGTATGTGCATTTACTTCGATATGTTCGCCTAACGCTTCCGCGTATTCTCGCCGATTGTTGTTTGCGAAACAATTTGATACGACCCAAGCTACCGTTTTCGTTTTATTACTTGCATAATTGCGATCCTGTTGAATTTGTTTGACGCGATCGTCATAGTATTGCCATTTACCATAGGGAGTTACGATATCACTATCACGTCTATAAGAGTGATAACTTGCTTAATGCATTTCCCCCGTCTTGTGTTTTACTGAATATCGGTGAACATTACCTGTATGTTGCCGTCCAATTCACGGACACGGCTTCTTCAAAAGAACTGGTAGAAGCACTTTCTAAGAGATAAATCATTATGACTTGGCGAGAATTGAATGGACGACTAAACGTGCTTGGTACATAATCTTCACATAAAATCATATCAGCTACCTCGGTGTAGTTTTCAAGAAAAGTAACCATACACGTGTCCACCGGACATTTCCAGCGCAGAAAGACTTCGCGTCCTAAGAGAATGAATAATTATGTTTACGCAGTTTTGAAAATTATTATTTGAACATACCCGAATCTTCAACTTGCAGTGAATTGAAAGAAGTCGCCAAGAGAATGGTTTTCAGCTTTCCACTGCCCTTAATTACCTCATAATCGGGCGGCACGTACATAAGTTGATTTATAATACGATCGCTAGATGAATCTTGAAATGGGAAGAGCGCCGAACTCGAAAGAAAAGCTCCTTCACTCTTAAGCGCCTTGTGTAGAGCCGTGGATTTCGGATAAGTACCATTTTCAAAAAACCAAGGTTTAACGTAATTCTCTGAAGCAATTTGCTGTTTTCCTTGCAACAGCTTAAAACCGAACACAAGCACCGGAACACAAATTATTATACGATAAATATATTTATTCTTTTTTTTTTGTTTGTTCGAAATAAATTTATTTAATGATATTTTCATGTCTACTCGAATGAAATCAAACGTGTGCCATTCGCGACAATTTTCTCTTGTTGAAGACGTAAAATATAGGTTTACGTTTTCACTTTTAAAATATCTGACATATTATTTCTTCTTCTTCTTCTGGGAGTGAACAAATCAATAACTTGTAATTTACTGTGTTGAGTTAAAACATTTCCACGTTAACACAATGTTCTGTTTATGGACTTTAATAAAATTGGCGTTTAACTTGATATATATAATATATAACCTTAAAAATCACAATTCAATGGTACGAACTTACTCTAAAAGAACCTTCAATAAGAACCTAAAATTCACGAGAAGACGATCTACGTTACACTGGCGTCAGAAGTGAAATTGTGATTTATAGGGAAAAGGACGCTGAAATTAGGAGATCTAAATGCGGAACAAAGTAAACAGGGGTTGGGTGAAACGAATGTATGGACAGCCGATCTTAAGACTGAAATAAAATAGCATCTATGTGAACAATTGGAAAAGAAGGGAAAGAATATTGCGGTATGCGAGTTCCATGGCAATGGTGACGAAGAGGAAAAAAAGAAATGCAGGAGAAACATGGCGAAGAAAACAGCGAAAGTGATGCAAATGCACAGCAAGCCGCTATTACGCTACTCATGGAGCAAATGCAACAACAAACGCAAACAGAATATCAAGAAATAGCATTAATTGTTGAGAAGAGATGGCGTCAGAAGTTCAAAAACAAGAGCAAGAACAGCTGCAAATGGCGGCAAAAAGCAGTCAGCAACAACGATTGGCGGCACCGAAAGCCGAAATAGGATCAGCGTTCGACGAACAACACCAGTTAATGGAGTTGAAAGTTGAGGTGAAGTCTCAAGAAATACAAAAGATTTTTACAGAGAAGGTATCTAAAGTATTTGTACAGCTTGCACCCAAATTGGAAGCTCCCGCCGGGAAAGTGATTGAACCAGTGAGTCAGTTTGACGCCAGGGTGGAAACTTTAGGAGAATAAATTGCTAGAACGTTAACCCTGTTTGCAACCCTGTGAAATGAAATGCGTGCCTTGAAGTAAACAATGGCTAATTTGCAAGTCATTGTTGCAGGTAGATTCAAACTCTCCCAATTGGGGAATGCGTTTCTGAAAGTAAAGCCGACGCAATAAGCAGCCTGCCGATAACGATAACCATGCAAAACTATCACGAGGATAACTCACAGAATCTATCGGATCCACGATTTTAATTTACATTAGTCAGAAATGGGTATCTATACCTACGCCGAAGCAGAGCTCGCCGGTTTCCCAAGTTTCTTTATAAGATTGAAAACTAAATATTTTGCCTTAGATTATCACCTTTCTATAAGCAGTGTCTTACGGCAATCTTCTTTCATCTAACTTAGAGAACAGCTGCTTAACTAAAGAGCTTAGTTCACTTAAGTTCTTTTTTTGTAGAACTTATTTAGTCCGTACCCCACCTGAACAAAGAAGATTCGAGCTTAAAGTTAAGGACGATTAGAGATTCGTTAGAAACTTCAGTTCGGCATTAAAAAGAAAAGGAGAAGCATGAAATGCTATATAATGGCGTATGTAACCATGGCACAGCTTTGCCAACGTCGAACAATAGAAACGTTACAGATGTAAAGATGTTGACGAAGTTTGTGATGTTTATAGAAAATGGAGCGTGCGTCAAGAATCCTTTACGGAGTGTTGGTTTACGTGTGAAATATGCGGCCAATAGCCGTAAGCATGTATGCCTACAGAGACGCGTGCATGCCTTTGTGCAAACATTAATAGTATATAGCGAAAAGATTGCTTTCTCGTTAGCTGGGATGGCTTTTTATAATTCGCAGAGTTATGTTTTCTAAGAGCTATGTGTTATCATGCCGCGTACCCTTTCACGACGAAACTGAACAATTACGTTTTTCTTATTGACGTTTGTTTACTTAAAAATGACTATGAATCGATTCGTGGCATGTAACATATGTTCTTTACTTTCGCTGCGATGAGCTTGATTGGTACCTGCCTCGAAGTTCAAGCTGACCTCTTTTTAGTTAGAAAGTTTACTGAGCTTTTCATTCGAGAAATTGTGAACTCAGTTGTGATTAACAAAACGTTGCTTATACTTCTCTATCCGTACAAAAGAGAGAATTGTTGATATTAAACGCGAACATTTCCTTTTTTTTTGCAATACTTAGCATCAACGATAACATTGAGTTAAGCATGATGACAAAAACGATAAGAATAACATCCATTTTTAATCATAACAATGAAAATATTGCGGATACATATGATTGCATGTGTAAGCAAAAAGCGACATGTACACATATATATATATAAAGTTCATTTATTTGTTATTATTGTTACTACATTACTATTATTGATGCTGTCGTATTGAATTTGCCGCAGAGACGACATTGATTGCTTTCCACTTCATCGTTATTATCGAGCAAATTGATAAATAGAGGTAACAGAGACTCCACGAATACTTCATATATATATATATATATATATGTATGTATTCATATGTATGTAGAAAGCCATACGCTTATGGAAATGTATGCAATCTTGCATATGTGCGTACCTACCTGTACATATTTATATGTTTTGTTATTGTTTTTGCTTTATTTATTTATTTATTTTTTTTTTTTTGAACCTCAGGCATTCGCAACAGCTGAGATCAATATTTTTAGTACACAAGCTTCTTCTTCCATTTGTTGCATAACAAAATAAACAACGTAACAAAATGTTTATAGAATTCTGCTTAAATAATAGTAACATTTTTCAGATTAAACAATGAGATGAATGGGAAAAACTAATCCGTAAGATAAACAAAGGAAATATTTAATCCGAAATTTGAAGGTAAAATTCATCATTGAATTTGTCATCAACTTTCGACTTAGTCCCCCCACCCGTTTCACAACGATACCAACTAAATATTAGCGCGATAGGAAAAAGAAAATCAACTTTGCTTTCAATTAAGGATGACGAGAGTTTATTTCATCGCTAGCGGTACAGAAACACGAGGAAGGAGCTAATTTCTCCAATGAAGTTGACAGAAAGTCTTCATAGATTTGCTGAAAAGAAACTAAAGATTTGTGCAGCGAGTCTTAGTAATTCTAAGGAAAAACGTAAGACAACTTGTAAGTTATGGTACCATCGCTTGATAATGCCTTTTCCGATGAATAACGGTACAAAAGGACAGTGGAAGAAATGACACGTTGGTGGAGAGAGAGGAACTGAGGGAATTTATGCGGTGCGAACGCCATAAATACGCAGAGTGTCTGTCTGTATGTTTCGTATCACAGCACAGCACAAGGCACAAATATTTTCGTGATCAAAATAAAATTAACAAATTATTGCAAAAAGTGCAAAGGAAAACTTTATATATTATACGTAACGCATATGTGTGCAGTTGCAATTGTAACCTTGTAGCATAGTAAAAGGAATGCGTTCTAAGCTTTCGGTATTGTTTCTCTTCCATTTTTTATTTTTTTTTTTTATTTTTTTTAATTTGTGACGAATTATTCAAAATATTTCCTCAATGGGGCGACTGCTTTGGTAGCCAATAAATTATTAACTGACTTGTATGCCTCTTGCCTGAGGCTACTTAGAATGCACGCTATGACTTAGAATGGCGGTTTATGCAACCGCGATTCCCAATACATGCACAAGTATTTATGCATTTGTATTAAGGTGGAAGCGCAAGCTTATCGTTGGCAATAAATTGCTGTAATTTATTGGCCGCGTAACATTTTAAGGAATTTCAGCGCAAAATTTCTTCAACTACTCTTATGTTTATTGCGATTGTCGGATGACGTGCCTGAAGTGACACGTTTGCGCAAATACATGCCTAACTCATCCCCCTTTCGTTGAACTACTTCATCACTGAAATGGCACTTGAAGCATAAAAACTTAAAAATAAACTTCCGATCTTTGTTGTTATTGTTAAACAATTTCTTTTTATATTTTTATTTTTTTGTTAAGTCTTTCTTTGTCACACCTTGTAATGAACTAACTAAACGCTATATAGACTTGCTTGATATAAAAAGCACCCCCTCCCCCCCCTCGACGCATTATGAAACGATAAGAACTTGAAAGCAAACCACAAAATCAACACAGTCCGCATAAGTGCATGTATGTACGTATACATACATCGTCTAAGAGAATGTATGAATGTATGCTTCGTATGCATGTGAGCATATATTAAGTTAATGTTCACTTTCACACCTAAAAGTTGTGAAAATACTTACACACATAATATAGTATAACGACTTGCACCATAGGGTTGTTATGGGTTGAATGTCTTTATAATATAACCATTTATATATATATATATATATATATATATAAATATCCCTATATATAAGCGAATGTGTGAACACGAATGAATACATATATATATATGTGTAAGTGTAATGTATATGTGTGTTTCAATGTGTCTGATTATGCAATGGTCATGTGCAAAACTACTGGAGATTCTTATCATCAAAAGTGGTTAGATACTTGGTCGGTGGTCGATATCGTATACTATCTTTATGCTGTCTTTTTCATGCTGAGTGAAAGTATGTGTATATATAGTATGTGCAGCTATGTGGCAGTCATTATACGATTTATATGTGGACATTTACAATTTATTAGCCTGCAATTTCTTTAGTCACCAAGACGTCACCTTAACTTAAGATTTATGCGATGCTGTTTACTGTTTGCGTAGATAACCCAAACACTGTTCCTCGTGGATCATATGTATTTGCAATTTTCTATTCTGGCACATGTGTATTGCTAACTAAACTATACTTACTTATTCTATTAGTCCCCTGGAATATTTAGTTTCACTTATGAGCGTTTTTTTTTTGCAATATTATTATTGTTTTTGCTTCAA